GGGTGACCACAGTTCAGGTGATTTGTTACTTTACTGGCTTGTTTATCTTCTCCTTGATTCTTGCCTTGCTTAAGTTAATTGCTGTTGTGTTTGGATTTAATGAACGTACTTTGCCTCAGTTTGTACCAAGTACAGTCCTTGTTTCATCTGCAAACATTGAGAACAATGATAATTGGACTAATACTTGTCTAAAGATCAATGAAATACATTTTGGGACATGTTGGAATGGATAAGGAGGACGAATAGGTCTTTTCTGTTGTAACTCAATTTGCTTTATAAGGTTGAAAACAGCCTCTTTATTTTGCTTTTAAGAAACATCCTCTTGGGGGTTATCAGAAAAAATAAAGAATGATAATAACCCACTTCCGGCCTGGGGAAACATCAAAGCTGGGCCTGTTCAGAATATATTTGTAGTCTGTTCTTAAATGTATTTGTGAGTCTAGAAAGTGTGTATGAGGTCACTATGGAATCAAATAGAATAACAAGTACTTGAAAAAGATACCTGGACAATAACTGGAAGTTTTTCAATATTCTATTTCTAGCTATGCCACATTTTCTGTCCTTTGTTTGTTCCCCTAAACATCACGTTACAGTTCAGATCTTGATAGTGAATGGGCTGTTCTGTCTGCTGAGTAAGTTCCAGACCCTGTGGTGCTTCAGGCCGTTCTGCTCAGCTGGTTTATTCTACTAAACTGCTCCATTTCTGTGTGTTTGGGGGTCTTGGTGCTCAGATTGAGTTCGAATTAATCTCAAACATAACACAATTCAAGTAGCCTTTCTACAATAAGGCTAGGTAGCTACCAGGGTGAATTTCACCCTTTCACTCTTTTATATACTATTCTTTCTAGGCAACAGGAAAAGGAGAGAAGCTTTTTTCTATCACATAAGTATTCCTGCCTGTAAATCCTTACCAGTACTGTCCTTAGTGCTTATAATAGAATTAAGTTCAAGTACAGTGTTATGTCAAGTACAGTCTGGGTGGGTTATGCAGCTAGAAAACACAGATGTGATTTCTTTCCAAACTTGGGTGTTGCTGTTAGCATCTCAGAAACCTATGAGATGGAAGTCTGTAGTTCTGTCTGGTGCTAGAATAAGATTGCTATTTTATTTTTAGTTCCTTTCTAGTTAAGGATGTGTTAGGTACACATTGGGAGCACCCATTAGAGCAATCTACATGCACAGACTGGCTTTCAGAAGACCTGTGGGTTTTTTCCACGCTGATGTTTTAGATATCTGGGCCATCAAACTAACCTTTGTAGTCTTTTCACCAGTTTTCATGCCTTCAGCTTACAAAAATGTGCTAGATTTCATAAATCAGTGAGGAGTCACAGATTTATCTTCACTTTTACTGGAGGCCTTTTTGTATTTATGTAGTATCACCAACAAAGTATGCTGCAAAAGCAGTATTTAAGGACAGGGTAGGGGAGGGGGCTCTGTTTTGAAGTCTTATCAGAAAATGAGGGAAAATATCATGAGCACATTTCAGACTTTTTAATTAAAATGCCATGAAACCATTCCCACATTACAGACCAATGTGGCTGTGTTGCTCAGTTTTGAGGTTTAAAGCTAGATGATAAAATCCTAGAAGCTGGCATCACACTTTTTTTTCCCCTCTGAGTGTAATATAGAGGTACATGTAATAGTGAACTCATACTTAATTCAGAATCTGTTTTCAGTAATCCCTTTCTAAGTTAGCCTTGTGTTAGTATACTTCTCAGCTATGCATAGATTTTCTTTTTTACTCCTTTTTAATTAAAAAAAAAATAGATTATTTTTTTTTTCCTCAGTTCATATAATCTTTCTGCTTGAAAAAAAAAATGGTAGCGAGTCTTTCAAATTCTTCCTAAGGTGAGGTTTTCCAGACTGCACATGTGCATGCTAATAAAATTGCTTTCTGTACTGCTAACAATTACAGTGTATCCTGTATTAACAGCAGTTCAGAAGTTCACTAGCAAATGTTGGTTTTCTTTTCTTACTGCAGCTGTTGTGGATGAACACAAATGTATAGTGATACAACAGCACACATACTGCAATATGATAACAGCATATATTGAATGTGATCTCTCTTAACATGCCGAAACTAAACTCTATTATATACTTGAATATTCTTTGCTTTTTTCAATGTGTTTTCCTCTCAGAAGCTTTCAGACTATAGTTCAGTCCATCAGATACTGCTGATGCTTTGCTGATGGCTTCTTTCAGCAGTGACATTTTGCCTTTTGAGATTCAGTATGAGGTTTTCTGAGGCCTGATAATTTCCTGTGAAAACAGTTTGTGAGCATGCAAAATGGGTATAGGAGTTTCATTATAGACACACTCTGCCTAAACTGAGACCCAAATAAATTTGCTTTTATTGTAAATGCCAATTCCCCTTCTCTCCTTCAGAGTTGGATTCCTGTGGTAGGGGTGGCAGAGCTGGTTCTAAGCAGATGCTTCCTTTGTGCAGTGGGCTCAGGTCTGCCTTCTTTGTTGGTTCCCCCTCTCTTGTCTTGCTCCCACTACATTCCTGCTTTTCTACTTCAAAAAGGTTAATCTGAGATTGTCCTGGTATGTCCATACATCAGTTTAATCTGGCTAGTCCTATTGCAAATGTCTGCTCAGCCCCAACAGAAGATATTGTGATTAGTTGCTCCAGTTAGATCCGAAGTCACTGAACCAGCAGTGTGATTGCTGATGAGCTTGATAGGTTAAACTGATTTGGAGCATTAATAAATAAGAAGGCCTGACTATGGCTAAAATATGTATATGGAGAATATTTGTGCAAAGTTTATTATACTGTAGTTTCTCAATTTTATAAATTTTCACTTGTCTATGGTCCTTCAAAGCTAGGCTTGGCAGCAGAAGAAAAGGAATGGCACGTACAAGATAAATCCAGGACTTCTGCTTTATTGCACTGACAGAACCAAATTGTTCAATCTGTTGCCTCATCTGTTTCTTGCCATAGCTGGGAGTTGTAAAGGTCAGGCCATTGCAGCACAAAGAATATAATAGTTAACATGCTGCATCTCGCAGTGTTACCAGCTGGCTAGTGCATGTCTCCCATTGAACATCCAGGCTCTTTCCCAAGAAGCGTAAGCAGCATCGCTGCCTATTTTGGGAATGCGTCAAAGTCAGAAGTTTCTGAAGGTGGCAATGTGGGATGCCCAGGATGGTCAGTGCTGCGCTCTGCTCTGACATCCACTGCTGCACTTCAAGGGAGCTGCAGCAATTCCCAGTATGAAATCAGCCTCGTCACCCCGAGAGGTGCAGCTCTTTGGGTCCCTGTGCAGTCAGGTCTGTTGACTGAGAAAAACAACCTTACTGTCAATTGTGTGTGTTTGAGAAGATGTTATGTGACGGAAGCCTTGACCAATGTACCAGCCACCCTGACCCTCACCTCCTGTTGGGTGGAGTGCCTGGGTGACAAAGACTCCATCCCAGAAAAGACACCAGGGATATAGCTGCTCTGCTTGTAACACTGGTGTAGGAGAATGAGAAGTATATGGGTATCAAAATTATTGTATCTATGAATAAAGGAGGTAGAGAGTGATACAAATAAATATGTATGAAACTGACTGCTAAGGAAGACCTTTTCTGTTTAAATCTGATCTTCAGCACAATGTCTAATATACCTGTCTCTCTTAAATATCAGATGGATGCACAGGCAAAGTAAAAGTGCTTTGTCATCCTCCTGACCCTCCCTCAATTTTGCAGTCCTCTGACTCTAGCTCCTCCATCTCCCTCTCTGATTTTCCATGTTTTTATTTCATGTTAAACAATGAAGCTTGCATGAAGATTAATGACACACTCTTGGCAGTATTTGACAAGATAAAATCAGAAGTAAAAGCCAGTTATTCCTACCTTCCAGTCTTTTTGTTAGAAGTTTTGCATCCTGACAGCCCTTTACCTTTGCACAAACCAGAGTGGTGCTTCATGTCACATTAACTGTTAGCTTTGCTTTGAGGTGCTTCAGCCTGTTAGTATTTGCTGTAGTTTTCTGTAGGTTGTCAGTAGAGAAAATGAAATTCAAAAGTTCAAAAGCTTTTATTTTCAAGAACACTGAGATGACAAAGAAAAAAAAAAAATCACCTGCTCTCAGGGTAGGTTAGCAAGTCTGCTGGTCTGTTCTGGTTCACCAGCATGAGTCATAGAGACCACATCAGTGCTTTGGCTTCCAGACACCACCTGGCTTTTTTTTGTTGATCCCACTGCATATGTCAGGCACCTTCTGTGGGAAGGGAGCCGAACCCCTGGGCCTTCTGAGAGCAGAAGCACTTGCTTATGGACTTATGATAGTCTTTTATATTTTGAGTGGTCAACAAGGTGGGACCAGGCAGCTAGAAGCAAGTGCTGTGCTTGGGGCTTAGGGACCATAGCCTTATACCTCTGGGTCTCAATTCTTGTTGTTCAGTTGACAAATCAGAATGACATGGAAGATACGGTTTTAGCACAGTGTGTCTTACCCTTTGGTGCTTTGTGTGAATAAGCTACGTCACAGACACAAAACTAGGGGAAAAAAATGTTGATGGTTTAAATATTAGTTGATTAATTGGGTTTAGGCTTCTAACATGTACCAACTGCTTTTTTTTTGCTTTTTTTTTTTTTTGGCACGTGTAGCAACATAAGAGACAAAAATGCCTTTTGATAAAGTCTGCTAGCTAAAACTCCTTGTTTGGCTCATGTTATAACTAGATCTTTACTGTTCAGTATTTTAGATTTTCTTTGCTATATTGCTCTTCGGGGAAAAGTATTGCACAAACTTGTTCTTTATGCCTTCAAATCTTGATAAGCTATCCAAGTCACTCTTTGACTTAACAGAAGATCTTTGTTTTATGTTTCAACACTTACTGGGAGTGCTTGTGAACTTTGAATGTTTTCTTTCTTTCTTAAAAAACAAAGAGGGGAGAGGGTATCTTGATGCAAGTAGTGTACGATACTTTAGTACACCCTGGTTTCTACTCTTCTCATGTCTCATCCTTCAGAATGCCCCTTGATTGTGATTTATTTTTCATTCCTGATAGGTGCCATACTTGGCAGATCAGAAACACAGGAGTGTATCTACTACAACGCTAACTGGGAAAAAGATAAAACAAATCGCAGCGGTATTGAACCGTGTTACGGTGATAAAGATAAAAGACGACACTGTTTTGCTACATGGAAGAATATTTCTGGATCAATTGAAATTGTGAAGCAAGGTTGCTGGCTAGATGACATCAATTGTTATGACAGGTGAGTGAGTTTTCTTATCCATTTTCAATTTATTTCTAATTTGAAGCTAATTTGCCTGGCCGTGATTTATACAACCTCCCCTCTGCAAACAGAACTTGAGACAAATTATGATTGTCAGTCTAAATAGTGAGCTGGCTTTCAGAAATGTGTGTATACACGTGGCTTTTTTTGCTCACCTCTGCTTGGGGACCTGACTTGATCTAAATGCTTTGTCTTGTTTGCAGAATAGTATGTTTTACCTGCTCTTATTTACTTGCTATGTATTAAAAATACCGTTCTTTTTTAGCTTTTAGTAATAGATTTTCTTATCATTTGTTATTGCCAAGCAATGCAAAGATAGTGAAACCAGAATGCAAAATTCAATAGTTCACTTTTCCAAAGTCTTTGGAGTAGGAAGTTCAGCACATTGTGCTTTCCTTAAATGTGGAATTATTTTGCTAGTTTATTAAAAAGCTCAGCTCAGTGGCAGCTCTAAGAGACACTGAATATCCTGAAATTCCAGTCATTTTTTTTTTATAACAGATGGTCTAGCAAGTACCCATGAGCAGTAACAGCAGGACTTGGGGGTTGTTAGATATTGGCTGAATAAGGGTCATGACTCTCTTAAGAAATGGTATTATAGTTCTTTAAGTACTAAATTTTAGTTGACCAAAATAGCTTTTGTTTGAAAACGGAGAGAATTAAGAAAATAAATACGTACTAGATATTCATGACAATGTATTTAGGCATTATTTTTAGTGATATTTTAGAAATTTTTTTTTTCTTAAATGTTGAATTAATAGAAGTAATTAGTTTAGTAATTTCTACCAAATAAAGTTCACACACACACCAGGATGTTTTCTCCTTTAATGACAGTTTAAAGCTAAGTGGGTATTAGTTCTGATTTGTCTGTTTCTCAGTGTAGCAGCAAAGCATCTGCAAGCTTGCTTGCACAGCAGGGTTGAAATTCAGCTATGCTGGAAGGCAAAGGATGATTTTAAAGAAATCTTATTTGTTGCTACTAATATCTAGTAACTTTAAGTCACTCAGGATGGGAAGGCACTTCGGGGTTTTTGGTAGGTTGGTTTCTGTTTTTTTTACTCCATTCTTTCTTGTGGCTTTGCAGAAGAAGTGGGGGTATTGCAGTTTCTAAGTGTTTAACTTCTAGGATGGAAACTGAGTTTTTCAATTCAGAAAAAGAAATAGGTTCTGCAGCATAATTGTCCTGCTAGTTCCACACACATCTGTAAGCAGTCTAAAAAACCTTGGTACTATATTCTCCCTTGAACAAGAACACTATATTGCAAGAAGAGATAAAATGGAGGAAGGATGTTAAGGAAATAGTTGAGAACTGAGTAAAAATTCATCTGGCTGTAAGGCCTCATTAACTGTAACTTGTCATAAGAATGCATGCTGCCCTGTTTGTCTGAAGGAGCCATTAAACAAAATCTTATCTCTGGGAGTGAAGAGTAGTTTACTAAACAGGGAGTTACTGTATCATGAACCCTGAACAGCAGATTAAGAACATCAAAGAATAAATGTTTTATGGAAGATACAGTACAGTGTAATTATAATAGCCAGTTCTATAAAATAACCTCATTTTGAAGATGGATCCAAAACTTTTTTGACAGTCTTCAGCTGTATTTAAAATCCTCACCCATTTCTGCAGCATTTTCAAGTTCTATTCTTTCTGCTGGCAAGTTGTCTCCTACGTGGCTCCTGTTTTTCTTTCCTGACTTGAATGGTTGCAGCTTATTTTTTAATAGAACTGCTTTCCTGCGGTTAATTCACTGAGTGAAATAAACCCTATCCCTGGGCATAATGTAGGCAGGGGAAATAATAGTAATCTTACCTTTTTTTCTAAAAGTAAAACATTGAAACTTCTCGTTCCCTCTGGTCTTCTGATGTACCCTTGTACTGTGATTTTATGGTTAAACACTAGTGGTTTGATTTGTTTAAATCTAGATTGTGAACTGTTCTTCACTATTCTTGTCAGCTTTTGCAAGGCATCCTGTTGGTGGTTTTTTTTAACTTTGTAAAATTGAAAGTAGAGGCTGTTTCAGTTTTAATGATGATTAATTACAGTATAAAGTAATGGATGAAATTTTTTTCTTCAGATTTAACTCTTGTTTGGGTAGTATGTTATCCTGGATGATTTACTGAAGTTCACGTAAAATTTAAAGTATGATCATGTTTTCTCTTGAACAAAACCCCTCCAATTTAGGATTCATAAGGGTTTTTTTAAATTATCTTTCCTAGGAGTGATTGCATAGAGAAGAAAGACAGCCCTGAAGTGTTTTTCTGTTGCTGTGAAGGCAACATGTGCAATGAACGCTTCTTCTATTTTCCAGAGATGGAGGTCACCCAACGTAAGTCACCCTGACACACTGATGAAGAACTGCTCAGCAGAGTTCAGAAATACTGAAATACTGTTCACGAGATAAGACTTTTCAAACTGTTCTGGTCAGATTTTCCTGCCAGAAAGTTTCTGATTCCCAGGTGCTCTGCATGCATTCATTTGGAGAGATTAGAAAATAGCCAGTTGGGTTTTTTTTGTTTAGAGAGGTCTCTATACTAGAAGTAATTGCAATTGGTAAAGGGTATTTCAGCTCTTTTCTACGGGTGAGAAGGAGAGATAATCCTTATATGCATACACCAGCCTATGAATGCTCCCCTTTTTTAAACAATACTGTCACTATTTCTTTAATTGGACCTCTGAGTTTCTTTGTAAATTGACACAGTAACCTTTAAACAAGGAGAGAGAATTTCCTCCCAGGTTACGAAGAACATCAGATAGCCAGACTTAACAAATAATTGTTTTAAAAAACAATAACTAAAAGATGATTTGATTATTCTTGCATATCTTCTTCCAGTGAAGGATCTAATCTTTGCTGGAAAACTGAATAATGTTAATAACTAAACTGAAACCAGCAAATGTCTTGTGTACCAAATAGCCAGAGGAAGTTGTTTATGAAATTAAATAACATTTTCTATGAGAGTAAAATAGCCTTTGTTGACCCAGGAGATGTTCTTGTCCTTTTTTTCGTCAGTGACACTTCTAAGGCAGTAATTGACATTCTTCTTCACTCTCATGAAACCTCTTGCCCTGGGGTCTGTGACTGCCCCCTGCACCAGTTGCTTCAGAAGCAGGACTTCTCTGGAGCGTTTTTGGAGGTCCTGTGGAAGTGTCTTCAGCTGGAGAGCTTTAACGTTCAGCAAATCAACTGTGCATAGAAACATTGGCAGATTATTTTTGGCCTGTTCTACTTAATAATGATATCTTACTGTATACATTCCAAAGACTAAAGGTTTGCATTGATTCTTCTTTCATTCATTAGGTGATGGCATTCTTACAATCTTAAAAATAGAAACACATCTGAAACTCTGTAGATAGTCAGAGCTGAGAAGCACAGAAAAGTTAGATATCCTTATGTGTAAATCTGGGGATCTAAATGCTTTCCAAAATGCTGCCTTTATGTGTCTGCTTTTATTAGTGTTCTACTTACTGCACTATTGTTAACCTGTTGTGCTGAGCATAAGAATTTTTAGGAAACCAGGATGCTAGGCATTTCAAGCATTGGATGATTTTTGTTTCTTAAAACCTGTCCTTTTCTTCTTAATCCCCAGCAACTTCCAATCCTGTGACACCGAAGCCACCTCTGTTCAATACCTTGCTTTATTCATTGGTGCCTATAATGGGAATTGCAGTGATTGTGCTCATTTCATTCTGGATGTACAGACATCACAAGCTAGCTTATCCTCCAGTACTTGTCCCAACCCAAGTAAGTCACTGCATTACAATTTTATTCTGTTTTTTAATGGCAAAGACATGTTTGGAATAGGAGAGCAGAGAAAGGAGAGTGCATCGGTCACATGGTGGTCTCTGTTATTGTCCTGGTTTAGAGCTAATGCTTGCTAGCTGCAAAAGTAGAAAATTAAGCTTTACTTAAACAGAATTATCTGTAATTCATCGGTCTTTGAATGTAAGAGCAACTACTTAATGTTTCTACACATCTTTGTGTTTGGAAGGGGAAAAATTGCACACACAACTGCAGCTGGCAAAGAGGCTGTATTGCTGGACAGCTGTGGGAAGGTTTTACTTCTGAGTGGCTACCAGGGACAACCTGTCTGGAAGTTGTGTTGGCTGCACTTGGATACTGGAGTTGAGCTTCATGTAATGCTTAGCTTAAAACAAAAGTAAAGGAGAGACACTAATTCATAACAGCAATTTGCAGTGGTTAGAAAATGGTAACTAGTAGAAGCTTAGGCATTTTTAAAACAGCATGGAAGTGGGATGCAGGTATCGGTCAAAGGAAATGTAAAGAAAACCTTTAGTTGAAGCATAGTTCCAGGGCTTAGCTCAGCTCATTGCCTGCTTCCTCTTACTTGTTTATGTATTTTGTGTTTTATCTTCTCAAATGTTTCAGTTTTAGCAGTGTTTGTGTTTTACTTAGAAAAATATTATGACATTGTGGTCTCCAGATTTGAAATGTTAACTGGCTCTGTTGTATCCAAACAAACCTTTTTTTGGCTGCGTGTGCATAGTTCCTGCAGTTGTCAGACTCCAGCTGAATCTATAGGTGCGATTAGTATTAATACTAGAATTCCTTTTCCTGCAGTTATGTCTGGAAATTCAGCTGAGAATAGAAGACCTTTATGAAAGGAGTTAAGCCAGCAAACTCCTTAGGCTGAAGCAGTGAAGGTTAACAGTGTGTGGTAGTGGAAATGGAGAGAGAAATGATTGGCCCAGGGTCCCCCAACACTTGGGGTTTTGCATGTGGAATTGAACTTGAGCTTCCTAAGTCAGTGCAGTGACCGCTCAGAAGACATTGGCTCTTATACAATGATGATGTGATGATGATTTTTATGATTAAACAAAATTAAATCACTTGTGATTTTGGGTAGAATTGCATTTAGGAAGTATTTACATGTATTTGCTCCATACTGCCAGCCTGTGATATTTTCAGTGCTACTCTTTGACTTTAGGATGTTCCAGGAAGCAGTATTGCCTGTGGTCGATAAATAAAGTTGGTTTGGTTTCACTTTTGTCATAATAGATAAGAAAAATTAGGGGGGAGGCAGTGGGCATATGTTCTTGCCAAATGAAAAGAACATAATTTGGAGGAAAAAAGTATGTTTCTTGTCCTTGCAGAAAATATTGCAGATCCTCAAACTTCATGCAATCTGTTAGCATAATTATTTTGTCCTTCTCGATTTTTGTGTATTTGAGGCTTTACATCAGCCTAGTTGACTTCACTGTAAGATCAAATTCATAACTGCTAGTTGTGTGAATAATTTCAGCATGAAATTTCACTTCTAGGCTTAAATGTGTAATGGATAAACAGAGAAGCAAGCCAAATGTTAAATACGTGTGAGATATTAATAACTTGAATTTTTATATTCTTCCTCTTTTTTATTGCCATTCTTTTCTTGCCTGGTTTATGTTTGGTACAAGAGTGGACACGTCATAAATTTTAATAGGGTAATAACCTGTTTTGTTAATGCTCATATTGTATCTGTTGGGATAAGTATATGTTGATGCCTGAGCTAGTTATGGTGTAACAACATTTTCTTATCTTGTGGTGAATAGGGATTAAGGTTGGATGTGGAAAGTCAGGAAAAACTACTTCTACCTGAAAAACTAAATGAAATTATTATGGAAATAGAAGGTTTAAATATTCTCCCATATGCAGCAGAGCAGTATTTCCCACTTTAAATTTGATTAGAGCTGATTTGAACAGGAGACAGAGGAAGCAGGAAGAGAGGGAAAAGTACTAGTAATTTTATAACCATGAAACAAACATTTACATATTTCTGCAATTAGTATATTAAATATTAATATTACATGTAATAATTAGGGTGTGAGTAGAGTTTGGAGGCAAATGAATTCTTTTCTAAATCTTTCTATAGTAAGTGGTAGAATGGAGGGATCAAATGTATAGCAGACACTCCCAGGAAAGCAGGGATTTCTGTATGACACGCAGATAAAGGTTTTACTTGGTTTATTCCTGGGGGGCAGTGGGAATACTTAGGTGCAGTATGTCCTGGTAGTAATCTTTCTTTTGACTAGAACTTGAAGGATGAAGAATAAGCAAAGGATAAAAATGAGGAAACACGGAAGAATGAGAAATCTTGTAAAAACTGGGAAGAGAAGAAAGAAGGTGTAAATAAAAAAATTGCAGGGCAAAAGGGAAAGAAATTGTTTGGAATAGCTAAAAACAAAACCAATAAATGCTAGAAGAAATTTTTGAACCTGTAGTGAAATATAAAGGACAAAGATCTGAGAAAACAGTTCTATTTTGAAAGTAAAATAGTTTCATGGTATTTCAGGCAGTTCCTACCCAAACTGAGCTCAGTTCACAGCTGTGTGGGTTAACTTTATATTCCCTTGGAACACGCAGATAATTATTTCCACATTTCATGCAATGCAATTACTTTATGTTTGGTTTAAGATTGGAAAGCAGCGGATATTTTTGTTTGCTCCTTACTAGTTTCATTCTTACTTGCAGATATTTGGGTAGAGAGAACAAGGGGTTGCTAGAGTAGGTTACTCCTGAGATACTCCTTGCTGGTGTCCCAGTCAGAAGGCCTCTTAGTCTCTTGTCCATGCTGTTAGCTGGGTGCCTCACTGCAATGTGTGGGGTGCTCTATAGTTACAGCTGTCAAATTTTATAACACCTGTCACTCTTTAAATTCTTCAATTAGTTATTAACAAATTTAAGATTTAATTTAATATTTGATTTAATCATGCAGCAAACATATATTAATATGTCTGAATTCAGAAAAAAAAGATTATTTGTATTTTAAATATCTGATCTGTATATTTTTAGATGGAGTTACTCTCACCTGGTTAATTTTCACTCATGTGTGCCAAGTACAGGATAAACAAAACAACGCTTTGAGAACAAAGGCTTTCAGTCTCAAATTAGGTGTAGTTTAGATTTCCCCACAGCCTCCTACTAATATTTCTGTTGGAAATAGGAATGTGGATGGCAAGGAGTTGATATGTTATGCTCATTTATTTTTTTACATCTCTTGAGCTTGGGCCAGAGTTGTCAGTCAATGCTAATTACACCCATGGTGTTACCACTCTGTCATCTGATAGATAGGACCATAACCTATTTTATAGCATAACTGACACAAGTAACACTTTTTGTTTTTTATCAGTTCACAGAGCTATAGCTCCCAACACTTTACATCCATACTGTGCAAAGAGGGTTTAACCTCTTGTACTTTTCGTTGAGTGCCTGAGTTATGAATATCTTGTTGGATCACAGAGTTGCTTTTTTGGTTTTGTGTTGTATTTAAAATAAGAGTCATATGTTGAGAGGGCTGGAATAAAGCTTTGCACATTCACATAATGTCATTTTTCTTCATAACCTATTTTTGTGCTTTCTTCTGAAGCGTTTGAAACTACTTGGGTCAAAGATGCTTTGTGTTTTTAGTCACTAAGCACAAGGAGGCCCTAATCTAGGCCTTTTTGGTGTCCAGACTTTTAAAAACTCAAAAGGGAGAGATCCTACTTAAACTGCTGCTATCTGCTAGAGTGTCCATAAAAGCAAGTTTGGTTGATAGGAGTTGACATTTCTTTCTCTCCTCAGAGAGGAGGATTACATAGGTGAAAAATACAACTACGTTTTTCAATTTTGACCTCCTAGGAGGCACTTCCTTTAAGTATTTCACCCAGGATTCCCTACAGTGAGTACAATAGTCTTTTTTGTGCTTCATTTTTTGTGGTCTTTTTTCCTACTCCACATGGATCAGCCTCTTTGTTCCTGTGTATATGGATGACATCCCTTGTCATAAAAGTCATATGCTGTGTTAATAACCAAAGTTTAAGACTAATTGCAACATGTGTCAAAAACAGAGATACTGATCTCATTGCCCCTCTGGTTTCAGAAGGTTTTTGAGCACAAAAACCACTCTGATTTTGCTTGGTGGTTTTGGTATGGCTCCCTTCACTGCCATACCATGATAGTCTTTCTTCAGTGTATGTTTTCCTGAAGAGACCCAAATATGGCTACATGTAGCTGTGTCATGGCCTGGGTATTTCAGTTTCACTGTAAGAAATTAGAATTGAAATATCACAGAATGTGAGGTGAATAATGATGGAGAAGATGTCTAGCAGTGGCAGATGATGCAGGATACTCTGAGCAACTGACTGCATGCTTAGCAGTGGAAAAATGTTGGAAACTTATACAGGGTAAGAACATACAACAAAACATGAACTGCTCTTTGCTGCAGACCTCAGACATCTGGTCTAGGCCACCAGAATTGTGCCAGGGAGTTGGGTGAGTGTGTATGTAACATGACTGTTGTGTTTTCAAAAAGTAGTTAGTAATGGGAAAATGTTATGCTTGGCATTGGAAAATATTTTCACTTATTATTTTTGTTCTCTAAATCAACTGTCAGCACGTCACATAGCATGTCTGGTGCACTTAAAATTTCTGGGATAATCTTTATGCCTTTGTCACACTAGGAAAAGGTGATTGCTGAAGAAGAATGAAGAAATAAAAACGTGTTCAAATTGTTTCCATTTTTGTCTTCCAGCCATTCTTTTTTTTCTTGTTGTGTTATAGGTATTTTAATAGAAACATTTTAACACTTGAAAAATGAAGAACAAGAAAGGGAGAGATGTTTTTACAAGGATTAATTCCAAACTTAGGAAATTTAATAGCTGCTTGAAAGATACATGGACGAAAAGCCAGGTGCTTACAAGAAATGGGAGAAGAGATAGATCAACAAAGAAAAGATAAAGCTCAAAAAGAGGAAGAATTAAAAT